CTACACATACTTGATCATATGTGGGTGGAACGGTTTCTCCCAGGCGCGGACGTAACGTACAGGCGTGTCCCATCCAGAGAGAGATGCAACATCTGGGATCATCCTTCCAGCCTCATGGAGCAGATAAAACCTGGGTCGGGCTGACCCTGTACAGAGTAAAGCGTGTCTGTTAGCCTTTACACAATCAGCCTCAACGCTCAGAAACACTTTGAAAGCTTTGAACAAAACACTCTTAGTAAGCTATAAATATTTTAGAAACTATCGACCTTTTGTTATAGTGGAAGGGGATGAGGTGGATTTCGGTTTAGGATCTACATATTTTTTAATGTTTAGGATCTTTGGTTTTCGACATCAGCTGGTGCACAAGTATTACCATTGTTTTGTAAATAAACAAGAGTAACGAACTGTATTATTTTAACACTTCTCCCTTTGATTATGAACATCGCTCCAACATACGGAGAGGAGACACTGACAAACAAGGATAAACCGAGAAAGTCATGATGCCAACCTGGCCCACTGGGTCGTGTGTGACTTTGATTGCGACTTCTCTTCCCTTGTATATCAGCCCGCAAAAAATACTTAGATGGAGATTATTACTTAATGAGTTGGCTTGCAATCTTTTATTACTCACAAATTTCAGGAATCGTTTAAGATTTCCGAAATATATTGAACTCTTGCATATTTTCTTATCTCCAGCCATTTGGTATCTTGCATTAATATCAGTATCAGTCGGAGCTGCTGAGAATTGTTAAAAATTGCGATATCGTTGATACTTTGGGAATCAGCATATTTTAAAGGAAACTATATCTGATATAGAGAATCTCATCCGAGTGTCTTTTGATATCAAATATATCACTTTGATAAAAGTGGGAAAACTCCGAGGCTTGCCGAGGATTTTTTCCACTTTTATTTCTGGTTTCCCCGCCGTGATATTGCTGGAATATTGCTAAAAGCGGCGTAAAACCATACTCACTCACTCACTGTTGACGTCTCACCGAAGTCATGCGAACATCAACGTAAGGCAATATGACAGGTAGGTCGGTAATCATAAGGGGCGGGATCACTATGACTGCCACTGCATATTGTCCATACAAGGGTTACTTGACAGTACTACTGACACAACATACTGGCGCTAATAGTTGTGCCGAAAGGTCCAAAAGGGCACGACATCGTAACTGATTACCTCCAGCAGCAAAACACCCCCAGAATGCCACGAGTCATGACCATTCCCCCTTACACCACGCCTTGGACAAGATCAGAAGTGGTGTACGCTGACGTTAAAGACCGCAAGCTACGTTAGCCGAATTGGACCAGGCACCTAGGAGTGGAGGAGTGGACAGGGTTCACTCAGATTGTCACTGGGGGTTGATTTGGCTCTGGCTGAGGTTACGTATCGCTGTGATGCTCCGTAAAAACCATAGGGCACATCAACCGTAATCCCACGAAAACGATTCGCTTCCAAAACGAAGTGTGTGCATATATTTTCGACCCTTCAGCGTTCTGTGTTCTTATATGGTTTGAATCACCGAGAGGGTACGGGTTTGTGGCGGCCGTCTCTGAGCACAATGGCGGATAAAACGTCTATACCGGCCCGGTTACTCGATAAGTGAACATATTGTTGAACGATCTTAAATATAGATACTCGCAATTACAGGCAGAACACGACACATGCACTTAGCTGAAGCAAATAAAGTGCAATGCAGATTTGTATCGGAAATCTATTAGGAAATCACAATTGTGCAGTCAAAAGCTTCGACTAACATTTAGTCTCTGAAATCTTATATTACACAATATCCTTCTTGACTCTAAAAATAAAAAGAAATTCCCTATGCTGAGCTAGCTTGAGCTGGCTAGACTTGCTTTTGTATGCATTTCTAGATTATTATTTTTTCATAAAATAAATATATTCCACGGTCATGGTGCAGGACTATCAAAAGCTCTGTGAAGCGACAAGTCAATATTAAAATCGTTTATAGGAGGCGGCAAAGAGATACGGTTACGGTGGCTAGATTTGGGCCATGCCACGACGTATAGACGAATGTTTGACCAATCGGACAAGATTATAAATCAGATTATTTTGACTATCCAAGACATACAAATGATGGTGATGTGAATACAAATGGAAGACCTCTTTTACATCTGGGCAAACTTTTCAATAAACATGTCCTGAAAGGGCGCACAAAAGGGAGATACGCCCGCAAATTATACAAATCGTTCATATCCCATCTACGATGTAGTATTGTTGACTAAATCCGCATTTCAAGTGACATTTTTCACAATGTACCTGATTTGGGGTGTTTTACTTCATGAGGAATCTGACCACATGCCACTTAAATGTATCATTAATTTATAATACAGCCGTTTCAGTCAGCACCACCAACAGATAGTTTACAACTTATTTTACGATTGTATGTGTACCTTGCGGTTCGTGAAGTCAAGTCTGTTGCTTAAAGCCTGCCATGCTGAACTGTATGTAGTTTCACGAAGCACATGTTTCACTCTCTACATACTGTATCGTTTTCAGTGCTTTATCAGCACATAAATGTACACCACCTGAACAAAATAGTGACCATTTGACGAAAGCATTTACCCAGGTCCACAGATGTGTACTATAGGCCTGTAGCCTTTCAGTATTTCTGCACTAACGACAGATCATATATCACCTTCTAAATAAGGTTCAGCAGATGTTCTGTTGATAAAGACATGGGTTCTGGGTTCAGTCAGTGCGTGATGTTGTGAATGCACAAACTGAAAAAGAGGAAACAGAATTGGAATAAACCCATTCTGTCCCAGCCAGCTGTCGTCCAAAGTCTCGCTGCCCTACATGAAAGTTTGTAGTTGTTCCCACTGATCATGCCTCAAATAACATAACCATTATACGTACTACAGTAATTGTTTGATCAAAGAACTTGGTGGCATATCAAACAATTTCACATATAAGGCCAGTATGTTAACTGAGGACGAAATCTGCCCAAACCATGCAGCGGTATTATCAACGTTTGGCTTGACTCTAAAACCTGAAGACATGTCAATTCCTCTTTTGTACTGGATTCCAAAGCTCCATGACAACCCGTACAAACGGAGATGTATTGCTGGGTCCAGCAAATGTACCACCAAATCCCTGTCTCAAAGACTAACCATAATCCTTAATACAATCAAGGAGGATTTTCTTTATATTCACAGAAAGTATTTGAGACAAGTGGAATACATGCCATGTGGATTCCATGTGGAAGCTCAAAGGATTTGCTTGACTTTTTACAGAAAAGAGCCAGGTTCAATTCTGTCAAAACGTTTGATTTACGTATCTATTTTCAGATGTTCAGGACCATTTGTCAAAAATGAAAGCAAATGCCATCTGAAGTTATTGAGAAAACAATATGTGAAATGCTGGACTTCCTCATTGACTTCACGTAAAGTTTGGAGGTAAGACATTTAGGCAAGAAGTAGGCATTCTCATGGGCTCCATATGTGCTGATCTGTTTCTTTATGTATTAGTATATGAGTCGGAATTTCTGCTCTGGTTGGCGAAGTCAAAACAAGGTAATTTGGCCAAGAGGTTTATCTTAAGTGAAGGGTTTATCGATGACCTGATATCCTTCGTGGCATACTGTTGATGAACTTGTGTATGGTTGACCTTGGAATTGCCCGCCATTCTGCCTGTAGAGTTACCGCACGCTAGGCCACGTTGGCGGGTGCTGGGTCTGTGGCGTACACACTCCGCCCGAGAACATCCCACAGTGGCTCTATTGGGGACATGTCAGGGGACGTAGCAGGCTAGTGCAATGTCGTATGTCTTCTCGTCGGAGACGGTGACGACCTGGGTACGATGTGGTCTGGCATTGCCAAATATTTCTGCCGATATGTCTACCGAATGGAACAACAACATGAAACACAATTGCGTTAACATATCGCTGACCAGTCAAATGTCGATTCACAATTACCAAATCAGTGTGTCTGTCACGTATGATACCGCCCCAACCTATGACACTATCGCCCCCTAACACATCATGGTCAACAGTTGTTGTCCAGGGTGCCGCTGTACAAAGCGATCTTAGCGCTAAGGTGATCGTTACTCGCATACCTTAACATAGACTTACGACAGTCTTAGCGCTAAGGTTGATTTGTACAACGGTATATCCCCTTCTTTTCGCGAACATCATTACATAAAACATGACACTTTTTGTGGATAGCAACTTCTTCACAATCAGATCCTAACAATTATGGAAACAGTTTTGTTGACAGTTTGTAGTTGTTGTTTTTTGTGTGGTTTTTTTGTAGTAGTAGTAGTAGTTCACATCACTCTAGTTAAATAGAAAGATACTTAATTTCTTAATTAGTGATTTTTTTTTAATTCTTAACTAGCAAGAAGTAAACATACGGAGTAATGCACACAATACATGGCAAGACCCGTCCCATCTGTATAGGAACTCGAAGACCTGGTTCTATACACATGAGGACCAATTAGACACAAAGCCTATATGAAAGTAAGATAATATTCCGGATTTCATAGAAAACAATTTACACATGTATGAGACCCGTGAAGATCCGGGGTAGAATAGGTCTTTAGCAACCCCTGCTTGCCGTAAAAAGGCGACTTTGCATGTCGTAACGGGATCGGGTGGTCAGGCTCGCTGACTTGGTTGATGCATGTCATCGTATCCCAATTGCGTGGATCGATGCCCAAGGTATCAATCACTGGATTGTCTGGTCCAGACTCGATTATTTACAGACCGCCGTCATATAGCTGGAATATTGCTGAGTGCGGCGTTAAACAACAAACAAACACATGTCTGAAAAATGAGTGCGTCAGACTGATTGGACGCGAGATGTGTATGTTACAGTGTGTTCGAAGTATCGATTTAAACTATATCATTATACTCACTCGTTATCAATTCATTGTTTGTTGACATCCATCAGTGCATTGTCATTAGGAAACAGGGTCGTCATGGACAACCTCAGACAAATAACCTCAAGATTTTAATCACTTGATTGCAGCATAGTGAAGAAGTTGATTTAGGAGGACGATGGCTAAAGCATCGGTGTGTGTGCTGATTGCTACTGTGCTCAGTGCTACAGGTTTGTTTCTCTTTATGTTTATATTTAGTGTGTTTATTTATACAGTAAACATCAACTACATGTTTCAGTTCATATGTCGTTATTCTATAAAGAAGGCGATCTGGGGATAGAAGGATAATTATAATGTCTCTTTAAGGTTTCTATCAGATTACCGGAAGTGAGTGAGTGAGTTGGGTTTAACGCCGCTCTTAACAATATTCCAGTTATATCACGGCGTTAGATTACCGGTAGTATCTCAAAACTATCTATATGTATATATCTATATTGCTTGTTTTAATGTTGAACAGATCACAGTTCGGTGTTTAGAAAACCTGAAAGAAATATTCGTAACCCTCGGTGCCTCATACATAGCTGCATTAGGGCTAAACTATAAGTTTCATCCAACTGTTTAACCATTTCCACTGATTGAGGTTTTCAAAACTTCATGCAAGTACGACCAATTTTGATACCATTCAACCTTATTTAACGGGCGGATTAATGGGTGGCTCATTTGTCAAAGGCGCCGCAACTCGCCGTGCAGAGTTGCGTCCCTTGGGCACACCAGATACATCTGATTGTGGGTTCGAATCCCGGTTCGCCCCGATAATGTTTCTAGGTTTGGCAGCACCATACCCGTGCTCGTGCGTTTCAACAAAGTGGTAAACTTCGAACTTTCCTCCCACATTATAACTGGAATACTCTTCGAAGCGGCGTTGAACCCAGCTTACTCACTAACTCATTATTTAACACACAGACAGAGAGACAAAAGGCGTCATATAACACAAGCCACAGGCTTGTTTCGGGACATTAAAGTCTCATATTTCTTAAAATAATTTTCAACAACCACATTCTCTCGATCCAGGTTTGGATCTGCCGAACCTTGCACTAAACAAGCCCACAGAACAGAGCTCAGTATATCAAGGAATGACATCAGATCTGGCTGTTGAAGGCCAAAACGGCACTGACAGTATAGCCGGACAATGTGCCCATGTGGCGGAAGCAAAGGGTGTGGTAGAGTGGTGGCAAGTAGACCTCCAGCAGATCTTCTCGGTCCTAACTGTCTCCGTCACCAACAGGGGGAACAATTGGCGTAAGTAAAATAAACATTAATATCTAGATCGCATGTATAGTGAGGCTAAAACACGAACTGAAACGCTAATTTAACACACACGCACACGCACACGCACATGCGCACGCACGCACGCACGCACGTACAGACACACACACACACACACTTAGTAATAATCGATGTATTTAATTCCGCGTCTGACATTTCTGAGCGCTAAGACGTTCTTTGAAGATGTTTCACCGTTTTTTTACTTTTCTTTGAACATATGCCACCGTGAGGCAGAATACGCTCACCTTTACGCATGAATGCGTGTCTTGCATTGGGTGTTAGCAGGTTGTTAGTCTTTCTAATTTACTGTGTTCTTTTTAGAGTTTATACTTAAAATGATCTTAATTATACCTGCAACGACTTTCCACAGACGCAGGGAACACAAACTGGTTACTGCTTATATTTAATGTCCGACTGATATACAATAATATCACACTTTCATCACGTCATCAAGGAGGAGGATTCGGCCAAATTGTTACATTCATCTATGGCTATCATACGCAGCAAACCATTCCGATCACATGTAACTTCCAGGCAAACCAAACTAACTTCAGTCATTACTTTATATACATAATGTAATATACTAGATTTGAAGGTGATATGAAGAATAATACAGTTAATCTGATTCCGAAATGTATGACCTTCAGTTACATTCTGTCATAAGCATGCATCTAGAATGCGACAACAGAGTATTGATATAGGAAACATGTACTTTTCACTCATATAATAAACTTCATATATATAAACACTTGAAAGGGCAATATATTTAATAGAATCATTTCCATTTAAAACGAGGAACACAGACTAAAAGCATAACTATTGTCATAATAATAATCCATTACATCTTTACTGATATTGGTGTAGAAAACTTATCAATACCAAATCTGCCTTTAACATTTCGTAATATGAATGACTGGACCGTGGTTCAGTGGAAAAATCATCTGCCTGGAGAGCAGAAGGTCGGTTGGTCGAACCCGGGCCGCGTCTTATCAAAAGATGGTGCTTGGTTTCGGGATGACATCTCAGTGGGCTAGCATTATAAAATCGGCATTAGTCCGGACGAGTACAAGCGGTTCTGGCCCGTGAAGATCCGGGGTAGAATAGGTCTTTAGCAACCCATGCTTGCCGTAAAAGGCGACTACGCTTGTCGTGAGAGGCGACTAACGGGATCGGGTGGTCAGGCTCGCTGGCTTGGTTGATGCATGTCATCGATCCCAATTGCGTGGATCGATGCTCAATATGTCAATCACTGGATTGTCTGGCCCAGACTCGATTATTTACAGACTGCCGTCATATAGCTGGAATATTGCTGAGTGCGGCGTTAAAGAACAAACCAACTAAGGAATGTGGTAAAGGAATGGCTACATAGACCATGTAAATTACTATTTTAGGAAGGTTCTATAATAACGATTGGAACTCAATAAGAAAAGGTGAGATGAGGTTAGGTGAAATGGGGTTTAACGTCGCGTCCAAGATTATTGCACTTATATAGCGACGTGCATGTACGTGTGTGTGTTTGTGTGGCTGCTTGTACTTGTCCGGACTGATGCCGATTTATAGTGCTAGCTCACTGAGATACCATGCCGCAGTTTAACATGAATACCCCACTCAGACACAGTATATTGACTCCGAGCCGACCAGTCCTTGTTTTAGCCCTTTAATGCCCAGCGCCAGACAGGGTAACAACAAGTACCATCTTTTAACGTCTTGACGCGGCCGGGAATCGAACCCCGGGCCTTCCACTCTCCGGGCGGATGCTCTACCCCTAGACCACGGAGGCGGTCCAATAACATCTAAGGATCTATTTTGTGCTCACAACGCTATTGTCAATATAAGCCGCCCAGTAATCATATGCAACATCCTTTATACTGCTAAACAATGTCATAAGACAACTATATCAATGAGTATAGTGATAGTGGTTCATTCACAACTAAATCGGCTTGGCGAGCTATTGTAATCAGACGTCTATCAGAGAATAAACAATACATTTGAAGAGAGAGACCAGCACACAGACCAGATCTTTTACGGTACCATCAAATCATAAATCTTTCAAACGCATGTTCGTTATAATGTAATACATCTCTATCCACATGTAAGACGACCTCTGCCATTTAACTCTGACAGAAAACATTTCTTTTCATGTCTGATTGATAAATTTGATGTGTATGTGAAAATAGATATGCTTGACGATGATGACACGCTTTTGTTGTTCCCTGGTGCAGATGTTCATGACTTAACTGATGAAATTGATTATGATACTTGGGGACACATCTTTCTGTCATTTTGCCACTTTATATGGAGTTGGGGCGGTCGGGTAGCCTAGTGGTTAAAGCGTTCGCTCGTCACGTCGAAGACCCGGGTTCGATTCCCGACATGGGTAACATGTGTGAAGCCCATTTCTGGTGACCCCCGCCGTGATATTGCTGGAATATTGCTAAAAGCGGCGTTAAACCATACTCACTCACTCATTTATATGGAATTTCAAGAAATATCTTATGTATATCTACTAGACACATATACCCTACTCCTCACAAATTGTGAATTCATAGCACTATATATATCAACTAATCAAAATAATGTATTGTGAATAACGTATTTGCCTGTGTAAGATCTTCGGATTCAAATCTGGAGGATAAAAAGATATTCATTTATTCATCAGCAAAGACCATTTCTTTATATGGGTATAATGTGTGAAGCCCATTTCTGGTGTCCCCTGCCGTGTTATTGCTGGAATATTGCCAAAAGCGGCGTTAAACAATACTCACTCACTCCCATTTCTAGGTATAGGTTTCATATGATTTATTTAGTCAAACATTTTCATGCACTGAAGTGAAGCGTAATTTATATAACGATTCTCGTTGACAATGCACATCTGTGGTTTGCTTGAGGAATTCCAGATGAATAAATTATATCGTCAACTTGAACACAAATGTGCAGTGGACAAACAATACAATGCTACATATTGGCCGTAAAGGGAATATTTGTTGTGACAACTATATCTGTATCTGTATCCAACCGGATACAAGTTTCTTGATATTGTTTTGTAATTGTGAATAACCAAGAACACAGCACCGGAAAATATCATGAAATAATTATTGCACATTATTCTACTGCTTTACTGTAAGATCATATAACACTACAGCATGAATTAATCACCTCCAGTCAAGTTAATGATACTTTGCATAAATGACACGATCGTTAAGTGTCTGCTTTTCTTACTCTGAATGTTATAGCTGACAGCTGATATAGCGTTTGGTTTCACCAAGTTCCATCAGACGAGACTATGCTATGTTGGTTGTTTGCCTCTCTGGTTTACACGTGTAGCGTGTGCGCTCGTGCATACGTGAATCAGTGGAATGAAACTTTAGCATTTTATTATCATGTCGGTAGACTCATATTCACCGAAGTTTATCGATTTATCCTCACTTCTATCTTTATTTCACATACTGAAGAGGCCACAGGCCTATAGTACAATTTGAAGATTTATACAGTTTTATACAATTTATGTACATATCTCACCAGATCACCTCACGTCATTCCACCTCGCATTTCAACGCAGTCACATAATTCCACACATACAGTACAATACCATACCCTGTAATTTCATAATTTCTATATTACCATATCACAATTTGTTATATCATACAACATATTCTATAACATCATATCATATTGTATCATTATTATAGGATCATACTATATAGTATTATTTCATATAACATTATCATAACATACTGTACATACCATCGTACCATATATCACAACTATATTGTATCACATTTCAACATGTACTATCACACAACACATTAGCAATGTCATAGCTTGTCCCATCATATCTTATCATATCATACCATATAATGCCATGTCATTCCATGCCAATTTATTTCATATCAATCAATCAATATTTATTCAACACTGGAAGACCGCAAGCCATATAATATGTACACTAAAAAACAGTATTTACACAATTTCTATAATACACAAAATATATTGCATCATATCCCCTCATGTATCATATCACACCACAACACTTCATATCATATCACATCATGTCATGTCACATCATAACATTTCATATACATATAACTATACTTAACCATTTGTAATATCACGTCCCACAATATCATATGACAGCCTAGTAGTTAAATATCATTTCTAACTCTTTTGTTTGTAGTTTATTCAGATGGCATATATCTATAAATATGTACTTAATGTATATACACAATAGTTTCCTAATACCAAGCAGCTAAGATTATTCTTTCATAAGGTTCTGTCGGTATAAAGAGGCATAATATATGTACATTGAAACATTTTGTAAGATACTTCTCTTTGTGTTTGACAGCAATGTAACAAAATTTAATAATATTAGGGTACCTGTAATAATAAGCTTGCAGGTATTTTTCTCTAAGGTGTAAATACACTGGACATACAAGTAAGAAATGAAATTCATCTTCTACTGAGTTTAAACTACATAGATAACAGATTCTTTCTTCACGAGGAATGTTTACATAGCGCCCTGTTTCTATTAAAAGGTCGTGAGAAGAACATCTAAAACGTGAAAGAGCCGTTCGAATTTTTTTAACATTAACTTTTGATAGATAATCTTCCATAATTATTTCTGATTTAAACATTTTGTAATAAAAGTATTTGTTTGTTAGAGTCAATGATGCAGTCCAAGATTGTAAATAAATATCCTTTAATCTCTAGGTTAATGAAAGTATAAACATTGATTTGGAATACACATTTTGGTTTTGCCAAATATCACCAAAGCCACAACTGGAAAGTAATTCTCTAACACCTGTAACCCAGTTTCTTTTCCCATTATTATCATAAACTATCATCATATTATAACACTTTTTTGGCAATCTATATGAGGGCATGTCAATAAGTCTCAGCCAGTATTTAATAACTTTTATATTTGAATATACATAGAGAGGGAATCTTCCACATTCTCCATACACCACCAAGCTGGAAGTGTTTA